CCCCAAAACCCCAAAACCCCAAAACCCCGAAATGCTGAATAATAAAGTTACTTTGAGAATTTAAACTTTATTTATACAAACTACTACAATTAAAATTATTAAACACTTTCCTGACAATATTTCTATAAATCAATTACTGAGATTCCCTTTTGGTATCACTTCTTGCTCCCTACTTAACTGACTACAGTGAATTACTCCTTGAGTTCATGCACAAGTTTCTATAGAGAATTATAACAAATTTTTATCTTACATTGAATCTTTGGCCCATTTTCATTTTCTAGCCAAGTGGTATTGCTTATCTTTGATCAACTCTAGCTTGCATACCTTTTTCATAGATTGTGTCGAGGATAGATTCTATATCATGCAGACATTTCTTATACTAAAGTATTTCCTAGTCTTGATGAGAAATATCAGCAGTTTTTTAAGTTTTATCTTGAGTGATCATCATGAATGAATGATCCATCTAGTTCATGAAACTGCTATTTAAACTTGAAGGATTTCTTATAGACTTCTGCTTATTTATCACACTAAGAGATTTATTGTGTTTAATTACGTTCTTATCAATAGTTGAAGTGTGTGATTTATTGAAAGAAAGCAGCATCAAACTTTCATCAACAGAGTTGTCTGCTTGGTTTAAATTATTACTGGCCATGGCTGAAGTATTCAAGAGGATAGACTTATCTCTTAAGTTAACTTATGATGAATTATTAAGGTTATTGTTCTACCTCCAGCAATCAATCTTTGAAGTAGCATTTTAGGAGATCATAGATGATTTCCTTTAGCTGAGTTTAGCATTTTATAAATCATTGTTCTTAATTATTTGTTAAGATGAGCTTGGACAGATGCTATTACTTCTGGGTGTTACACTTTGAGTGTTAGCTGAGTTTGTGCTTATGGCTGACTCTTTATTCATACCAGACGCTTGAGAGTATTTATTCTTTAAGTGCTATCCTTTAATCAAAGTCATATTATTGCTTGAGAGTTGCTGCGAATCACATTTCTTGTGAAGCTAAGCATTTCCTTAGAAATTGGTCGGAGTATCTGCAGTAATGTTAGAAAAGGAATCATAATTGGAATTCCTTTGTTGAATATTTTTATTACTTGACTTCTTAGTCATTGTATTTGAGGCAGTTGTTGTATCATTAATGCTCTGATCTAGATCGTTAAATTTAGCCGTACCTTCAAGATTTGTCAAAGGTTTTGAACTAATTTGCCCAAGTTAAGATTGAGGAGTTATCTTGGTCAATTTAGATTCCTAAGTTGCTGTTGCACTTTAGTTTACTAGATTTGAACTTTTGTTTCTTTGGCCTCTTTCAGTTTTCTTAATCATCTGCTATTTGATTAAGGGACTTTATGCAATTTCAAATTCTTTAGAACTTTCTCTGGGATCACGCTTTGTTGGGACAGGTCTTCTTGATTTCATATCAACAACATGGCTGTTATTTACTCTTTTCACATTATTGCTTAGTTACTATTGACTTGGCTTTTACTTCTAAGGTGTTTTTGCTGCTGATCTAGCACTAACACAGCTCTGCAAGTTTTAGAGTCTTTGAAGTCTGAATAAATTTTTTGTAAGCCAAAGATTATTCTTAATAACACTATCAAACAGCACTAAGAAGTGATTTTTTAGTCTCATCTTTTGATAGCCCTCATCACAATTGACATAATCTTAAATCTCTTTAGCGAGAGAGTTCACTATCTTGCGAGTTTTCCAACCTTAAAATAGACTAAATATTTATGCTCTAGCATTAATTCTCTTTTCTATCATTATTTTAAGCATCTAAGATTTAAACCATCTCTAGATGAATACAATTTTTGAGATTATATAACTTCTGAATTATTTTCCCTTCTTGTAACTTAGCCAATTCTTAACATGTTTGACTATAATTTTGGCAGCAAGAATTTTTTATAACTTAGCTCTTCGTTTTCTTTCCACACTCATCTCAGTTCTACGTTTAATCTTTTGCCAAAGTAGAAATGTTCGGAATACCCTCTGAATCTTTTTGGCAGCGATCTTTTAAGTGAAAGCTTCCACAAGTTATAGCCTTCTGAGATTAATTTGATGATCAATATGTTTCCTTATTGAATTGTCGCTTGACATAAGAACTGATTCATCTCTTAAATTGCAAGAGTTCATGGTATTAATACTGTTTCCTAAGATTGCTCTATTGTTCAAATTTTGAATTTTGTACATAGTAGACTAGTCCGAATCTTTTTTAAGTCTGCTTTGTCTGCCTCTTCTCTCTCTACTTAAACTTTGCTTTGAAGTTTAATTGCTTTTCTAGGAGAATGAAGCACATGATTAGACCATTTGAATTTCTGATTTGTTGGCTGCACTTTGGCTTAATTTACCATTATATAGATTAGACTCATCGAAATCTCTATTGACATTAAATGCGCTCTGAGTCAGCAGCATCATATTTCGATTCACATAGTTTTCATTATCAACATACTCATTGTATGCATCAGTTCTTTTCTTGGGTGATTTAGAAGAAGTGCCTCCTTTTTTATTGCTATCATAATTTTTTGATTTGTTTGTGGAGTACCTGTTATTTTACCTTTGTGGTTATGAGGGAGATTACTTTGTCTATGAAACATTCGAATCATATTGCTAGTATTAATTGATGGGAGGACTCTCGCACATCATATTCTCGATTTATGCATTTTTTCTTGCATTTCTTTTAGCTGCTGATGTAATGGGATCATTCTTTTTTATTGGAGAGTTCCTAAGCACACATCTTTTGGGAGTATCTGTTAGCTACAAGGGGATTTCTCTCAGATTTTATATTGCCCTTTCTTTCATATTCTCCTCAAATGAAAGAGTATTGTCCAGAGCACTGACACTTGGCATTTCATAGCTGTTTCTGAAGGAAGTTGATGAACTTTTATTCATGTTTCAAGCCTCAATCTATTAAATCTTAATTAAAATTTTATTTTCACGCATAAATTTATTTCCCGATCTAGAATCATGGGGTTTTGGGGTTTTGGGGTTTTGGGGAGATCGGAAGAGCACACGTCT